TCTCTCTCTCTCTCTCTCTCTCTCTCTCTCTCTCTCTCTCTCTCTTTCTCTCTCTCCCTCCCCTCCCTCTCCCGATCACAGTAAAACCAACTCACTGCAGTCATCAGGCTCATCAGACATGTCTCCACAGTCGTTGTCATGGTCACACTTGAACCTCGCCGAGATACAGATGCCGTTGCCACACTGCGCCAACAGAGAGAAATGTGATTACTGACTCTGTTGGTATCTTTCTTCATATATATAATATCCATTTTTGAATGTTGATAAAAACTGTCTTTATTCTGCCTAACCCATTACAAAAATTCCGTCCAGAAAGAGTAAAAATGAAGTTTTTATTAATTTTCTCTAAATTAAATTGTGAACCTTCGATGCAGCGAAATTCTGATGTCTGTTGTGTAATGGTTATCCTTTTGGCCGTTGCAAATGACGACACACTCACCTGGAATTATTGATGTGACATACAGGTGTGACTACATACTCATCTTGACTTGGTCTGGCATACAAAAGTGACGACATTCTCTTATGGAATTATTGATGTTACGTACGAAAGTGACGACACACTAATCTGGACTTATTCTGATATGCAAAAAGGACAACACACTCACCTGAAACTGGTGTGACATACAGGCGTTACAACACTCACCTGGAATTGATGTTACATACAACAGTAACGACACACTCACCTGGTATTGATGTGACATACAAAAAGGATGACACACTCACCTGGAATTATTGGTGTGACATACAAATAGAATGACACACTCCCCTGAAACTGGTGTGACGTACAGGTGTGACAACACTCACCAGAAACTGGTGCGACGTACAGGTGTGACGACACGCTCACATGGAATTGATGTGACATACAGGTGTGACAACACTCACCTGAAACTGGTGTAACATACAATAGGGACGACACACCCACCTGAAACTATTGGTGTGACATACAGGGTGTGACGGCTCACAAACTCACATGGAATTGATGTGACATACAGGTGTGACTACATACACATCTAGACTTGGTCTGACTTACAAAACTGACGACATTCTCATCTGGGATTATTGACGAGAAGTATGAAAGTGACGACATACTAATCTGGACTTATTCTGATATGCAAAAGTTACGACACACTTACCTGAAACTGGTGTGACATACAGGTGTTACAACACTCACCTGGAATTGATGTTACATACAACAGTAACGACACACTCACCTGGTATTGGTGTGACATACAAAAAGGATGACACACTCACCTGGAATTATTGGTGTGACATACAAAAAGAATGACACACTCCCCTGAAACTGGTGTGACATACAGGTGTGACAACACTCACCTGAAACTGGTGTTACATACAGGTGTGACAACACTCACCTGAAACTGGTTTAACATTCAGGTGTGACGACACACTCACCTGGAATTGGTGTGACATACAGGTGCGCGGCGGGCACGTCTGTGTCTCGTCCTCGCCGTTCCGACAGTTCCTGATGCCGTCACACACACGGGACAGCGGGATGCACGGGTAGGTACCCTGCTGCTTGTTCGACTCACACGTGAACGTGTCTGGGGGGCACGTGCGGTCATCTGGGGGTTGAAAAAAGGAAAAGGGGAGGTGGGCGGTGGTTTGGTGAAACAGAAAAATAAGGAATGATTTATAATGATTATCTTTTGGTTCAATAAATAAAAGGCTTTGTTTTTTTGTGGGTATTCGTAAATCGGGAATTCGTAAAAATAACCCCCAATTAATTTTTCACGAACACTAAAATTTGGTAGAATAAAAAGCTAGTCCATTAATCATTGTAGGTCCCCGTTCATGCAGTAGGGTGCACAAAGGTATACAGATAATATAAAATGATGTTTTTCTATGAAAAGAAGCTACCACCCCTGCCCCAACATATACAATAAGAAAAAAGAAAACTCTCCACTCTAATACTACAGAGAGCTGAAGAAAAGACAGAGAAAGTATGAGAATAAGTTACCGTCATTAGTGGGACGTTTAGTACACAGTGCTAAGGACGCAACCGAAATTATTCACCGAAGTAGAATCACCCTAATCTACCCAGTGCAAAAGATACAGGAAAGTAGTGAATTGGCCTTGTAGGTTTTACGCCTCTATCAACACTATTAGGCAATTTAAGAGGCAGTACATCCGAGTTTAACGTCTATCCAAAAGGACTGAATCAAAAAGGAAATTCGTGCAAAGCGCCTTTCCCAAGGACAAAAAAACGTCGGACCAAGTTGAGGCTCGAACACCCTCACACACCCATAACCTCACGATTACGAGCCCAGTAGTCTAATCACTAGACAGCCGGCGCCACGTCAAAAAGACTGTGGTCGCTTTTAAGGACAAACGGGCAAACCCAGATTCCGGTGGTTTCCAGAAATCTTTATCAACACCAAAAGTGGGCATTGCCCTACCTATGGGAGAAGTTTGGTTTCATTGGTGTGTATATGTGTGTGGTTATAGAGAACAGTGTCCTTGTTTTTTAAAGAAACTGTACACGGGGCAAAAACTTCATCTTCGATTTTCTCAAAACAGCGTTTTTTTTCGGGACAGCCCCCTTGTGCTTATCACTCACTGCAGTTTCTCTCGTCTGCCTCGTCCGAGTCGTCGCCACAGTCGTCTTCCCCGTCACACACCCATCGCTGGGACACACAGCGGCCGTTGTCGCACGAGAACTGGTCTGTCTGGCAGGTCCGGTTGAAGGATGCTGAAGGACAGTAAAGTGAGGCTATAAAGGGGGACAGTTAATTCATTTTGTGTTTGTTTTTTCGTGTTGTTGTATTTTGTAAATGTGTGTGTTTGGATGTTTGTTTGTTTTTCGTTGTTGTGGGGGGGGGGGGGGGTTGGTTCTTTTTGTTGTGGTGGTGAGAGGTTGTTGTTTTGTTGGGGGGTTTGTTGGGGAGGGGGGTGTTTTATTTGGTTGTTTTTGTTTGTTGCTGTGGGGTTTTTATTGGTGGGGGGGGGATGTTGCTTTCTAGGTATAGGTTTTATGAGGCTCGCAACTGCATCAGATCAAAAGACAGCCAGCTAATAGAAACTGTCTTGTTCAGAGTAATTTCAAGAAGATATTGAACTCAAAGTTAAAGTTACCCAGCTTGTCTTTTCTCTTCTATTCTGGACCCAGTTTTCAGTCTAAAATCCTTAAGAAAAAAAATAGTTAGCTCGAATGGTGGTACAAAGAGCGTCCCATAGAAAGTATCTTTTCTCGACGAATTACAGACTGAATCCAATCAACTACATTCTCTCTCTCTCTCTCTCTCTCTCTCTCTCTCTCCCTCTCTCTCTCTCTCTCTCTCTCTCTCTCTCTCTCTCTCTCCCTCTCTCTCTCTCTCTCTCTGTCTCTCTCTTTGTCTGTCTCTCTCTCACTCTCTCTCATTCTCTCTCTCTCTCTCACCCTCTCTCTCTCTCACCCTCTCTCTCATTCTCTCTCTCTCTCTGTCTCTCTGTCTCTCTGTCTCTCTGTCTCTCTCTCTCTCTCTCTCTCTCTCTCTCTCTCTCTCTCTCTCTCTCTCTTCTGGTGCTGTGTGTCATAAACGGTCAGCGATACCGACAGCACGTAGGAACTCAACACTTTCCCGGGGGTCCTTAAAAAGAGCTGAAAGTGGGTTACTGAAATGTCCCAGCAGACGGGTTCTGGACCGATAGTTGGCGGGACATATCAGGAACACAAGGTCCATAATCAACTACATTTGCCACTATGATGAGCTGACTTACAGCATGTGGTGGTCGACTCGTCCTCGCCAAAGCCACAGTCGTCGTCTCCGTCACACTGCCAGCTGCCCGGGATACACTTGTGACTCTGGGAGCACTGGAAGTCACCTGGTCGGGGAAGGGGGGGGGGGGGGCGTAGAAGACGCAATAGAAAACACACAGAAGATACAAACAAGACACATAGTAAAAGAGACACATAGAAGAAATAAGGAAGATATATTATGTGTGTAGAAAATACAGAAGTGACATGTCACTATCACCAAGGCCAATTATAACTATATTGATAATAATAATAATGATGATAGTAATAATACAGGTAATAGTAATAGTAATGATGATGATGATAATGATAATAATAATAATAATATGATAATAATAATAAGAATAATAATAATAATAATAATAATAATATTAATAATAATAATAATAATAATAATAAAGCCACCACAAAGGCGAATGACCCACCAGGCGCGCACGAAACCATGTTACAGTAGAAAGGATTCTCGTCGCTGTTATCGCCGCAGTCGTTGTCCCCATCACACATGTAGCGGCGGATGATGCAGATGTTGGTGGTCGGGCACTTCACCTGGTTCGGAGGGCACGTTCGTGGAGCTGGAAGACGAACAAAAAAGAACAACAAAGTTGGTCAGTGTGTGGAGAAGAATCACAGAAATCGATGTACAGAAAAGTGGGAAGACATGGATTAACATCAAGAGGCTAGCCCAGGATAGAGAAAGGTGGAAAGTGTTTGTCCGTGGCCTATACCCTGGAGCAGGGTGAGAAAGGCAATGATGGTCAGTGTGTCAGTTGCGTTATTTTGTTAACTCTTTGTCAACGTATTGGACACAAACGTCCGATCAGCTGCAGACCAAAGCCATTGATGCAGCACATTTCCAACAATTATATACAAATCAGAAATACGAACTTGCTCTCTTTTTATAACATGCATGTCGTTGCCTGACTGTTTTATGTTTCAACTAAAGAAAACAGTTGCAGTATCTGTAGGATTAAGGTTATACGTTAGCATCTATTCATAAGCCAAAGAGTAATAATCTTCATTTTCCAAGTCTCCGGGGTATGGGGGGGGGGGGATAATATGACCGTTGAGTGAACACTCACGGCAGTTGAGCTCGTCCGTGCGATTCCCGTCCCTGCAGTTATCAATGCCGTTACATCTCTGCGAGGCCTCGATACACCGAAAGTTGTTACAAGTGAACTGATCTGGTCCACATGTGGGGTAATCTGAAATGAAGAGAGCATTTTGTGGACTTCTTTTACAGGCAAAATGGATTTAGTCAACACATTTTTTTCTTTTCACATTTAAAAAGGTGTATCTGTAGTGAGTGATTGGTAAGTAGTTATTCATACATTAAGTACTGCGTTCCTGATTTCTTTTAAATATTAAAGGGGCTAAACAAAAATCCAGTTTTGCACAGCTTGATTGTTTTATTATTTTATAGGAGATACATGGATACAATTTTTATAGTATTTCGATCACACTGTGTTCACAACAGTCAACATATCAGGTAAGTATATTTCATTCTAGACAGAACTCGAAACAACAAATCCGAGTTCTCAAAGAAATTATCCACAATGAGGTCATACAAGAACTGTGATTCATTTTGAAAGCATTAAATTTGGACAAGGCGAACCATTAGCTTTTTGGTGTCAAGTCAAGCCGCTCCCTAAATTAACAGCAGTACATTGAAAGGACTGCAAAACACATACAATATTGTTTTGGGTTTGTTTTTGTTGTTGTTGTTGTTGTTGTTGTTGTTGTTGTTGTTGTTGTAATAAGTGCTTCGCTGAAATCCGTTACAAAAGCCGCCTTTAGCAGCTGCTCTGAAAGCCTTACAAAACTGACGAGTAAAATGTAAAGCCACTCACCACAGTCGTCTTCATCCGAGTTGTCCCTGCAGTCGTTGTCAAAGTCACAGCGATAACGGAGTGGGATGCAGCGCCCGTTCTGACAACTGAAGTACTTCGGGTCGCACGTGTGTAGGGCTGGTCGTGTGGGGGGAGGGGGGTAGACAGACAGTTGTAACTGTTACAAGCACCCAGGTTTAATATGAATTTTGTACAGTGTATGTACCACGTCTAGGCAGATAACCTAACATTAGTCTCATACCTTTTGAGCTGATTTTTCCTAGGGTCAAGTCGAAAAGACAAACAAAACAGTATAATATGAATCCACCATCATATAGGCTTACATAGATACGTTAAAGACCGAAAAATAAATCGGTGGGCAGGCAGTGAGAGAAGCAAACTATTCAGAGCTAGATTCTAGATTGATTGAGGCTAAGAAAAATTGTCTGTGGGACGCTTATTACTATGTAATACGAATACACCATCAGAAGCACAAGATTTTTGATTCTAAGATCACATACCCCACCCTTTCCTCCCGACATCCAGCATCTTTTTGTTCTGTTGTCAGGTCTGTACTCACCACACAAATTTGGCTCTTCGTCCGAGCCGTCTCCACAGTCATTGTCTAGATCGCAGACCCAGCGTTCCCGCAGACAGCGGCCGTTACGACAGACAAACTGCTCGGGGGAACATGTGTTGTTGCTGGGAATACACGCCTGCCGTGGGAAAAATGTAAAATGGCATAAGTTAAACCCCTGTAGCAATACTGTTACGTCATTCAAGAAGCAGAACCTCCCTGGGAAGGTGTCAAATAGAAAATTCGTATAAAGTGCCTTTCCGAAGGACACAACGTAGGACCGTGCTGAGGCTCGAACCTCTGAACCCGCAATCTCACACTTTTGGGTCCGGCAGCCTAACCACTAGGATACCAAGACCCCTGCCTACCATGGTCTCCAGATTGGGGAGAAACAAGGTGTTCCCCTCCCCCCCCCCCCAAAAAAAATATATAAATAAATAAAACCACCATTTCCTTTGACACAATTTAGACAATTCATTAAGTAGGCTGCTTTGACCGGGCCATCCTTAACTGAGTGGCAAACAACAGTCCAACAGACAGGCTGATATACCCACTTTGAAAAACTTCCCTCTCGGGAATGGAACACACATCTTCTGCTTGCTACAACGAGGAGTATTTTTTCACCACTGACGCCGGAGAAGACAAGAGACAGATCAGGCACTATGATAGTCTTCACGCGCCAAAGGACTATTTTTGTGAACTCTAAAGACTCGAAGAAAAAGAAAACTTTTGGAATTTGGGATTTGTTCAGCCCCGCTATACGTGACTTCACTTCCGGCAGGGGCGAACACTGAAAGCAGAGAGCCGTGAATACTTCTAGCATAGCATCAACCTCGAGAGGGCCGTGTTGGGGATTCGAACAAGAGTCGCTCACAGTCCAGAATTCTACAAACAGTACATAAATCTCACATTCTCTTTCTAGCAGGGCGAAAAAAGGGATAAAAGTAAAGTATACCCCCCCCACACACACACACACACACTCCCACATGACTTGGCTCATCACGATGACCACGTCTTGCTATTTCCAGTTCCTGTAAGACATAGATGCAATCCCGCCGTGACATTTACGGTGGCCCTGGGTGTTGCATACTTGGTCAGCTAGGTTTTTTTTATATTTGTTAATAATACTAATAATAATTTACATTGCGCGTTTCCATTTTCTAAATAATGTTCAATACCCATTACTTTCATAAAGATACCACATTTTAAAAATTAATTGACATGTGTGTACGTAAATCATAAAACAATGCATAATATTTGTACATATACATATATATATATGAGAAAATAAGTCCCACAGTGAGGGGGTGGGTAAACTTTACTACTTTTACGGCATAATTAAAACAAGAGCGGCAACAAACCTTGCCACCATTTCCGATCTCAAGTCCGCTGTCCTGATCACAGGTGCACTCCACCGTCCCCTCCGGCCCGGGGTGACAGCTGTGGCTGCAGCCACCGTTGAAAACTGCGCAAGGGTTGTTGCTACCTGCGTGGTGAAGAGAGGCAGGTGGGAAGTGTTTTACCCTATCCGTACGTCGTGTTTTACTATCGTATCCATATGACGTGGGGAACTCTGTGCCACCACTTTCCAAAGAGGAAATTACTCGTTAATCCGATCCGTACGCTTTGCATAGCAGTCTGTCAAAATGATTTTTTTAAAGAAATACTGAAAGTTCCAAAGAGATCTTCGAACTAGAAGTATTCTAAAATGAGGATAATTTACCCCAGGGGTACAACACGACCCTAGGGCGTACGGATAGGGTTAAGTGCTCGCAACTGCAAAAGGTCTTATGAGCGCTTGGGACACAACAAACATAATGTTCAGTTTGGCCGAATTTTTTTATTTTGCCAGGGTTGTGGCTGAAGCCTACTCTTCGATTTCAGGACGTATGAGTCTGTATGCTTATGTTGTGTGCGTGCGTGCGCGTGTTTATGTGAGTGTGTGTGTGTGTGTGTGTGTGTGTGTGTGTGTGTGTGTGTGTGTGTTTATGTGTGTATTTGTGTATTTGTGCGTGAGAAAGAAAGAGAGAAAGAGAGAGAGAGGGGGGGGGGTAGATGAGTTGATGAATGAGTGAGAGTTTTTTTTCCACTGAAGAGGAGCGATAGATTAGTGACGCACTGATGCGCAAAGGGCTTGACATAATGTCACCATATGAATGTGTGCGTTTGTGTGCGCGTGTGTGCATGAGTGTGTGTGTGTGTGTGTGTGTGTGTGTATGTGTGTGCGTGTGTGTGTTTGTGTGTGAGAGTGCGTGTGTGTAGTAGAATGTGCGTAGACGAATGTGTGTATGTATGTGTGTGTGTGTTTGTTTGTTTGTTTGTGAGCACGGACACTAAAAATTAAGAGTACAACATCCTCTCCTCCAACACAACATCGACATCCTTGCCACATATGCCCAGTCGGTTAGAAAAACAAAACAAAACATAAATGACCCCCGAAACAGGTCTTTGATCTTGAACTCACATTTTTGCTTCTCCTGCGAGTACACAGTGACGCCCATGGGCCGTGTGGAGAGTCCTTGAACCAACATCTTCATGTTGGCCCCTGTGTGTTTCTCTGCCCTGTAGATGCCTCTGAGGGTCCAGTCTGTCCAGTAGATGTAGAAGCCAAACACGGTCAGCGAGAAAGGGTGGACAGTGGTCTCCACGATCACTTCGCGGTAGTTTCCATCCAAGCCTGCTCGCTCTATGCGGTCCCTGGGAGACAGGTGAAGCAAGAGTTGGGTATGAGGGTTGGGATATGGGGAGATGTGACGGATGGGGGTACTGTAGGATGGGACGAGATGACATGGAATAATAATCGAAATGAAGTGAAATGGCGTGAGAGGGGAAGAGGTGAGGTGAAACAGGAAGAGGTGAGATGAAACAGGAAGAGGTGAAGTGAAACGGGATGAGGTGAGGTGAGGCGAATTGAGAAGAGGTCAAATAAGCCGAGATGAGTTTAGACAAAAAATAGATGGCATGAGGTGCTTTGAGTAGAGGCAGGTCCGGATGTGGTAAATATAGAGATGATTCTGTGGGATAGAAGTGTGTGTGAGGGAGTGGGGGGAGGGAGGGGGTGGTAAGACGATACAAAATGAGATGAGGTAAAAATTAGTTGAGGTGAGATGGACTCGTATTTTGATAGTGGTAAGTACATGAAGAATCCAACATTCAAACAACAACACCAAACTGACGATCCTGGAGAACGACCCATTTTCTTAAATTATATGAATGTAGTGAACAGGCAAACGCGTACTTCAAGGTAAGATTAACTTCGCTCTTGAGATAGATAAACAAGTCTTGCTAATTTGTTCTATCTTTCCTAAAATGTCCTTACTTCTGTGCATCAGCCCAATAGATTTTCTCCTCCTCAAAGTCGATGGTGAGTCCGTTAGGCCAGCCCAAGTCTGTGGAGACGATGGCTTGTCTTTGGTTACCTGCCATTGTGGCCCGCTCTATCTTTGGGGTCCGACCCCAGTCCGACCAGTAGATGTACCTACAGAGGGAACAGAATAACGGTGTAGTTTAGCATATGTATGTGTGTACCTGCGCGAGCGTGTGCCTATGTGTGCATGTGCGTGTGTGTTCTTGTGTTTGAGTGTGTGAAAGAGGGAGATAGAAAAAGAGAGTGAGTGGGAATGTATGTGAGTGCGTGCGTGTGTGTATGTGTGTGGAAACATAATTATTATGGACACAGACAGACAAACAAACAGACAAACAAACAGACATACAGATAGACAGACAGACAGGCAAACACACAGACAGATATACAGACAACAGACACATAGACAGACAGTCTTGATATGGCACAGAAATAATTAAACGAATGAACAGACGCATTACATGGCCAATTACACAAACTGTTACTGGCGAGTATATATTATAACCAGACAGCTGGAGACGAGGAGACACTTACCCTTTGCAAGGGTCCAGTGCCAGGGCCCGGGGACTTTGCACCATGGCGATCACCACTTTGTTGGTGAGGTTCACATTGATGCTGTAGATCCGGTTGCGGAAAAGGTCAGCCCAATACAGCTTCTTGCCCACCCAGTCGAAAGCGATGCCCTCCACTGAGGTGACGTCATGGACGTAGCCGGGGGCTGAACAAACAGAGACGTCAGGTTAAGGAGGTGGATTATATTATGTTCATATTGGAGATGAATGAGTGCGCGCGCGTGTGTGTATGTGTGTGTGTGTATGTGTGTGTTTGTGTTTGTGTGTGTGCGCGCGCGCGCGCGCGCGTGTGTGTGTGTGTGTGTGTGTGTGTGTGTGTGTGTGTGTGTGTGTGTGTGCATAATATGTTTGTATGTACCGGGGGAGGGAGGAGGGGGAAGGGGTAAGGTGCGTGCATATTATGCTTCTGAATACACGCATGATTGTCTTCATGCAAGTTATGGGGGAAAGGTGGAAAAATGGCTTGTATAGAGGTACAGAGAGAGCTATGTGTGGGTGGGGGAGAGGGCCAGAAGGCTGCAAGATAGACTCAGGGACAAATTAGGTTTCTTTAAGGTTGAAAAGATATTCTTGAGAGGGGAAAGATGTGCAAAAGCGGAAAACGATGTGCGACAGAACAACAAGGAGAGTATTGCCGCTGAAGAAAAAGTATGCAAATTGAAGAGAGTATGGGAGAATAAGAGAAAAAATGTAAAAGAGTGAGCAAGCAAGAAGTATCAGGAAATGAGCTAAAAATAAGAGCGAGAAAGAGAGAGAGGGGGGGGTAGAGAAAAGAGAGAAAGAGAAAGATAGAGAAAGGAGGAAGGTACGGACTGTAGGAAAAAAAAGTAAAACAAAATGATTGTGTAACGGAAAGGCAGATTTGATCAATTCGAGCTATGCCCAGCAAGAAAATTTTTTAAGTTAGCACAAAATCAACACTTGAGACTACAGGAAACGAGAAAACTACCGAGAACAAATTAGTTGTTAAAGATGAAAAACAACCCAGAAGCGACAGCAAAAGGCGAAAACACTTACTGGCGTTCATGCTGGGCGCCATGAGATCTTCCACTAGAGTGGATCCTTTTCTCACCCGGCTGATCTTCTTTGAGTTGACCTGGCTGAAGTAGATGTAGTGGTCGTGGGCGTCGTAATCAACAGCTACTGCGCCCTGAAAACAACGTATAACGCAGGTAGATGGTAGTTCTATTCTCTTTATCTCTGTAACTATATTATAGCTACCAAAAGTTTTTCTGGGGTTTCGGCCTCAAAGATGGTAAAAAGAAAAGATATACTTCGCAAAAATGGCGTTGCAGGGTAATTATCTAGTATCTGAATAGAATTGGTTGTTGAATTATTAAAACTCAGCAAATATTTGAATTGAGCTTAACACTTTACACTGTTCAAAAGGTAGTTCAGACGATAGTTTATTTGGTGTTATAAATATAAATGGAGAAGAAGGACCAGAGAATGAAATTAATGAGGCTAACATTAATTTACTCGCCGTTCAAGTTAGTAAAGAAGTGAGATATTATAATCACTCATAGCCGTCTGTTGACTGAAAAAGAACCCGACAACAAAACATTTCAGTCTTGGGACAAATTATGATATATTAACCCTTTTATAGAGCATTGTTATCTCTTTTGTTAACTCTTGCATGATGATGGACACGATACATTTTGCAGAGCGCACTTTTTTATCGCGATCTTGGCTTTGAGATGCCTAACCATCTTGAAAATCTCAAGCATTGTTTTTTCCACTTTTCAGAGTCTGGAATGCGGGAGACTCCTAAATCTGTGCGGTGGCCTGGAAAAGCTAGGCGGAAGACACGCGGTCGTTGATCCGAAAGACATAACATTATCGGTTCGTATCAAATTTGAACAATTATCGATTTCATAATTTTCATTCTTTTTTTCTGTCGGAAAATTATAATAGCAATACTTACTAATGAACCTATCGTTATTTCAAAATATTTGGGGGGGGGGGTGCTCTTCTCTCACTTCAAAGCGGGTGGTTGGAGGGCGCTGCTGATATGTTCTACTTCTTCACTTTCCCTCTGTTGGTTCTGTCTGTTTGTCTTACTTGTTCCCAGCATAATGTTACCATTATTGTGTTGGTGTGCGTCTCTTTACTCAAACAAAACATACAAACGACAAAACAAAAAAACCCAACAAATCTGACATTCAACCTTCAAGACAAGAGTAAAGACAGAGAAATGATACACGTATAACTAATGACATAACAAAGTGGTTTATGACAAACAAAACAGCGAATTGGTGTTGGATTTCTACATTAATACCAAGCACACAAAAAATAGACTACTTTGAGCCCAAGCGTACTGTGTAGAATATTGAGGTACGGTAATTTAAAATTTAAACTATGGCATGAAGGGAAGTGAAAGGGCTTGCTTATGGCAACGTCAGTTTCAAATGTGAAAAATGGCAATGTGCCCGGTTTTCGAAGGTCACCACACATTTTGTCCTGCTCTCTGATACTTGCACCTTTCTCCTCTTCCTCCTCCTCCTC